ATGCTTAGTCCTAGGCAAGCAAAGAGGGTCTCCTGAGAATAGTGATGATGATAATTTGCTTAAAATTTTTACTCTCTTAGTCTCTAAAAATGAAAATAATAGTAGTCTGAAACCAAGGAAGTTTGGCTAATAAACTGGACAACTTACCCAAATCCTTGAGGCCTAATATAGCTTGATTGCTTCACCTTTGATCCAGAAAAAACTTGGTATGGTCTGCTAGTTTCCTTCATCAAAATTTTAGTACCTACAGAATAAAATATAAACTCACACTTGGATTCCCATCTCAGCTCCACCAAGCTCTGAGAACTTGGGCAAGTTATTTAACACACTGAACCTTAATTTCCTCATCTGAAGGATTTAGGGATAATAATATTCACCTCATATAGGGTTATGAGGATTAAGCAAGATTACAAGTTATAAAATACATACATGTTTATAAAATACATACGTGTTTAGATATATACTGGTAGGTCTGATCCATTATACAGCCTTCTTCATCTTCTTCCTCAGTTTGACTCCAGCCTAACTTTTGAGCCTTATGTTTGCTGTTAGCTAACACCCTTCCCCAAGCACATATATGTGTTGACATGTGAGTGCACATACACACAACATCAAACTACCTATGACTAGACAACTCATGGTCTCCTAAACATGGCTTGCAGTTTCTTCCCTCCGTGTTTTTTTGTGCAAACTTGAATACCTTTCCCTTCAACCTTGAATACCTTTCTCTCTCGTCTCTTTCAGAATCCTGCAGAATTTGTGAGACTAAACTCACTCGCTTCCTGTTAACCTTTCCTTTATCCTTTCAACTATGATTAATCGTGTGCTACTTGCTTTCCTTTCCACTTTTTTAAAAGTTTTCTTGATTTATTTTTATTTTGAGAGAGAGAGTGTGAGAGGAGAAGAGGCAGAGAGCGAGAAGGAGAGATCATCCCAAGCAAGCTCTGTGCTTTCAGTGCAGAGCCTAACGTGGGGCTGGATCTCATAAGCCATGAGATCATGACCTGAACCCAGGCACCCCTTTCCTTTACACATTGTTTTCCTTTTACGCTTTTAATGTGCACCTTTGTTGTAAAAGTTAATACATAATGCCTTATATTATGGTTATAGCTTTTTATATGAGCCTCTCTACCAGACTGTGAGCCTCTTAGGAACAGAGATCATCGCTTATCTTGGTACCTTGCACATAGTAAACATTGTTGTTAGGGTCTTAAAATGTTGGGTGGTTTTTTTTTTTTTTTTTCATTAATCTCTAAATTTAGATTAAATATAAATATATATCTATCCGTATTGTTATTTACCATTGAGTAATCCATGATGTGGAATAACAAATTAGTTTTCAACATTGTTTTAATCTCTTGGCAATTCTTTAAGTTTATTAGATTTAAAATTGGTATCAAGAATAATGATGTTTATTAGGCAGAGATGTGTTTTAGGAAAAGGGACCTTCATTCCACTCATAGAAGGTTGAAAATAATTTGCCAGATTAATGACAGGGTTGAGTAGGGATTTCACTGAGGAAATATCAACTTGGGAAGTAGGAGTTGGGCTGTTTGGTTATGAATAGGGCTAAAGAGTCTGGAGTGGAACCTTTACCAGAAAAGGAACTGGGGAACTGAATGACTACTTTCCCAGTGGCCTGTGTGCAGTATGGAACACCATGCAGCAGTCCGGAAGAATGAGGTGAATTCATAAGCACTGAAGTTTTTGCAAAGCTCTTATTAAATGAGAAAAAGCAAGCCAAAGAGCAACATGTACAGTATGATCCCACTTATAAATATGTTTTTAATTCTATGTTTCTGTATACATTTATAGGCATGCAAAAGCATAAGTAGTGTGTTATCTTCTAACAAGGTCTAGAAAGATTTACACTGAGTTCATAACCGTGGTTACCTCTAAGAAGGAATGTGGATATGGGAATTGGAGAGCTAGCTATGAAGGTGGGCTTTTTGTTTTTGTTCCCTTTGCTTCTGAATGGTTGAAAATTTTAGCAGGAGAACCTGCTTATGTATTGCTTATACTACTGAAAAGTAGATGGAACACTACTTTTGGGGAAAGAATTGGGAGCAGGATTTTTGGTCTATAACCTACAAAGGCCATCCTCAGTACCAAATGTATTTTAATTCCATCATTATTTTTCAGGTTTTAGGCTTTTGGCCTATTGTCATTTAACAAAAAGTGATCCTCAGTACCAAATGTATTTTAATTCCATCATCATTTTTCAGGTTTTAGGCTTTTGGCCTATTGTCATTTAACAAAAAGTGGGAAGGCTTAGAAGTTGTCTTCCACATAATTTTTTAAAATAATATTTTCAGCTGTCAGAGGCAAGGCCATAGTTTCACTTCCAGTTCCTTTTTATAAGATTCTATTTAGAGAGCCTTTAAATCATTTATCGCTAAAGAAGTTTCATGCTATTGCTTTTATTCTGTCTCATTCAGGAAGCTTTGGAGGTGAAAGTATAGACCAGGAGGGAAACAGACTAAAGTTCAGCTTATGATATATCTCTTGTGTTGGTATCTTTTTCCTGGGGAATTCCTTTGCTCTATGGCTCTGTATGAAATTAGTCAACTAATACATATTCTAGGTTAATGACAAAACTTGGCATTTGGGCATTCAGCTAGGAGAGTTTGCTAAATGCATTAACTGACAGTTAAATGTTGTAGTCCGCGTTATTCTGTTTTGTAGCTGTCAGTCACACTATTAACTGTAGCCAACATTTTACAAATGTAAGAAAATATACATCCAGTGCCAGAAAACTTAGGTCTAGGATCATTCATTCAAAGTACATTCATTGCATTTTATGTACTTTAAATATAAACCTAATTTTTATATCCTTAACAGCAGTTTCTAGTTTTATTTTAAATAACTTTTATTTTAAAAACTGTTCAGTGAGGAATATAGATTAGCAAAGAGAACATAAGAACACCCTTAAACTCTTCCTGTTCATCCTATGTTAACATTAACAGAGGAAAAGAACAAAGAGAGTGAATTGGACAAAAGAGAAGAAAAAGTAAAGAGTTGTAGAGAGAACATATGGTAGATAGTAAAGAAGCAGATACAGGAAAATAATATTTAAAGTTTATTTAGAGAGAGAGAGCTTGCACACACAAGCGGGGGGGGGAGGGTGTGTGTGGAGGGAGGTAATCCCAAACAGGCTCTGTACTGTCAGCACAGAGCCCAACATGGGGCTTACTAACTGTGAGATCATGACCTGAGCCTAAATGAAGAATCAGACAGTTAACCAACTGAGCCACTCAGAAGCCCCAAGGAAAAGAACTTTTGAAGAGTTCTCTATGTAAGAAAAATTTAAGAACAGCCTGGTATGAGTTTTAAGATCTGGAAAGTTCTGGTGGTATATCTCCATTTTAAAGCAATTCATAATCTATGGTTGATAGGAAAAAACAAAATAATGAAATCCTTGCTTCTTTTTTTTTTTAATATTTTTATTTATTTATAGGAGAGAGAGAGACAGCGTGAGCAGGGCAGGGTCAGAGAGAGAGGGAGTCACAGACTGAAACAGGCTCCAGGCTCTGAGCTGGCAGTCAGCACAGAGCCCGACGCGGGGCTCGAACCCACGAACCGCGAGATCATGACCTAAGCGAAAGTCGGATGCTTAACCGACTAAGCCACCCAGGCACCCCATGAAATCCTTGCTTCTATCATATCTGCCTTTACCAGATGCTCTTGGAGGCTTTACAGTGGTCTAGGTTGAGAAGGGAAAACAATTCATTTCTCACATCTTTCATTCCTTAGCATACGAGGAAGTCCTTGGAGATTTCTTTTGATAACTGGCTGTGTGATTCTAAAAACCAAAAATGCAGTATAATTTCTTTTGTAGCAGACCTAGGAGTCATCTGGGCTCTGGAGCTCTCTGATTTAAACCTTAAAGCTATTTTGGGACTTAAATAAGCAAACCACAATTTTCTAATTTTGTAGTTTAAGTCATTATCTTAATGCTATAGGTACACATACTCTCTCATTCCTGTGTATTCCCTGTTGGAAATTTGGAGGGTTTTCTTTTAAAATCACATTTAATATTATGACTTCCTATGCTGATAAAATTGTTTCTTGGACATGAGTAGAAGGGTAAAGTAGAATGCTTTATTAAAATCAGAAATCTCAGGAAAATGGTATATTTTACTTTATAGCCTACTATATTACAGTATTTCTAAGGAGGTTTTAATCAAAATTAAAGTATTAAAAAAAGTCTGAAATGGAAACACATAAATGGTTTGTAGGGAAGGGCAAAAGCCCAGATTTTAAAATATGTTATGGGCACGTGGGTGGCTTAGTTAAGTGTCTGACTTTTGGTTTCAACTCAGGTCGTGATCTCACAGTTCATAGGTTTGTGCCCAGTGTCAAGCTCAGCACTGATGGTAGAGCCTGCCTGGGATTCTCTCTTCCCTCTTGTGCCCTTCCCCCTCTTCTGCAGGTGCTCTCCTCTCTCTCTTTCTCTCTGTCTCTCTCTCTCTCTCAAAAATAAAGAAACTTAAAATGTTAGAGTGATAACAAGAGATTTTGTTGGTTAAACTTTGTTTTTTTAAGATTTTATTTTATTTTTAAAACTCTATACACCCAACATGGGACCCAAACCCACAACCTCAAGATCAAGAGTCACATGCTCCACTGACTGAATGAGCCAGCTGGGTGTCCCTGGTTTGGTGAAACTTTTTGTTTGTTTAAAGGAAATTCAGAACCCATTTTATTAATGTTTGTTTATTTTTGAGAGAGAGAGAGAATGAGCAGGGGAGGAGCAGAGAGGGGGAACAGAGGATCTGAAGCGGGCTCTGCACTGTGCTCTGTGCTGATAGCACAGAGCCCAGTTTGGGGCTTGAACTCACAGACCATGAGATCTTGACTGAGCCGAAGTCAGACGCTCAGTTGACTGAGCCACCCAGGTGCTCCTTGGCGAAACATTTTTAAAGACTCCTCTGTTGCCTTGTGTTCTAGACTAGAGCAGTTTTTTCAAGGAGTGCATTCATAATTCCTTTCATTTCCAGATTGCCAAGGTTGAGAAGCTCAAACCTTTGGAGGTGGAGCTCCGGCGCCTAGAAGACCTTTCAGAATCCATCGTTAATGATTTTGCCTACATGAAGAAGCGAGAGGAGGAGATGCGAGATACCAATGGTGAGGGAAAGGCAGCTCTTGTTTCTTCATAAAGGCGACAAATCTCTTTTCTCAGTTTTGCTAAATGGGGGGTCGGGGTGGGGGTGATGGGATGATCACTTACTTCAGTGTTGTTGCTTCTGCAGGTAAACAAGCTCTGTTAGATTTTTCAAGGGCATAGGAATTTCTTCTGTGATATGCAGTTGACCATACTCTCAGCTTATTGTGTATCAGACTGACAGTGCTAATCTCTGTGATTTTTAACATTTCTAGATGGAGTAGTGAAATTTTAAGAAAAATAATCCAAAATCCTGCTGCTTGGCCTAGGGGACTGAGTGGAGTTAATTAATTGCCTTTCCCCCCTGGCCGCTGTTTAGCCTGCTTACCTCGTTACACTTGTAATATTTTTTTTTTTTAGAGTCCACAAATACTCGGGTCCTATACTTCAGCATCTTTTCAATGTTCTGCCTCATCGGACTAGCCACCTGGCAGGTCTTCTACCTGCGTCGCTTCTTCAAGGCCAAGAAGTTGATTGAGTAATAAGGCCCAGTCTCCTCCCACCTGTATCTCAGCCCGCTGAACATCACTGGGACGTGCCTGGCCTAAGGCATCCTACTAACAGCATCATCGAGGCACATTGGAGCTTTCTTGCCAGAACTGGTCTCTTGTGGTGTGGGAGGACGTGGGTTACCACCTACATCCAACAAGTCAATGAGGGACTTCTTTTTAATTTGGTAGGATTTGGACTGGTTTTGCAACAATAGGACTATTAGAGTCACCGGTGACAAAAAATTGGGGTTACCTAGCTAATGCCAAAGCCAGCATTTGTACTGGGTTTCCTCCTGTGCTGTGTTTGAACCATATTTTCTTTCCTTTTCTTCCTTGCTCACCAGTTTGAGCTTCCACTCTAGTTCCTTCACCGAGGTATGTATGACCATGTTGAACTGGTTTCATTCTGATTATCCTTTTTGGATTTGTGTGAAAACACACTTAACTTTCTCTTGACCCTTAGCTGAAATGTTTAGGTAGCTTCTGGTGATATCCTTTCATAATTTTATGTCTCTTAAAAGGGTGATCGATGGGACACCTCATAGAAATGAGCTTTGAACTGTAGATAACTCTTAAAGAAGACTTCATTTTAGAAAATTAAAATATTTGTGCTTAACTGCCTGAACCTTTTTCATGTATTTATGTGTGTTCTATGCAGTTTTATCAGGTAGAGATTTGTTTGATCACCACCGCAAAATGCAGAACAGTCCAATTCTTCTATCTCTTGTACTACGACCTTTTATAACTACAGCCACCTCCCTTCCTTACCCCGGAGCCCCACCTTCTGGCAACCACTAATCTGTTCTCTGTCTCTAATTTGGTCACTTCAAGAACGTTTTATAAATGGAATCATCTAGTTTGTAACCTTTCAAGATTGCCTTTTTGAACTCATCATAATTCCCTTGAAACCCATCTAAGTTGTTGCATGTTATCAGTAGCTTTTTATTGCTCAGTAGTATTCCATGGCATGGGTGTACCAGTTGGTTTAACCATCCCCCCATTGAAGGACACTGGGGTTGTTATCAGGTTTTGGCCATTTCTAATAAAGCTGCTGTAAACTTCCATGTACAGGTTTTCATGTGAACATAAATACTTACTTCTCTGGGATAAGTGCCCAAGAGGGCAATATGGTAAACACGTGTTTATTTTTGTAAGAAACCATCCTACTCTTTTTCCAGAGTGACTGCCATTTTAACTTCCCACCAGCAATGTGTGACCGATCCAGTTTCTCCAAATGTTCACCAGTATTTGCTTTGCCGTTATTTTTATTTTAGTCATTCTAATAGGTGTGTGTAGTAATACCTCATTATGGTTTTGATTTGTATTTTCCAAATGGCAAATGATGTCGAACATCTTTTCATGTGTTTATTTGCCATCTATATATCTTCCTCAATGAAATATCTATTCATATCCTTTTTGCCCATTTCTAATTAGAGTGTTCTTTCTATATTAAGTTTTGAGAATTCCTTATATAACCTAGATACAAATCCTTTGTTAGACATGTGGTTGCTTGAATTTCTTTTTTTTTTTTTTTAAAGAAATCTCTGCACCCAACATGGGTGGGTCTCGAACTTACAACCCCAAGATCAAGAGTTGCATGCTCTACTGACAGAGTGTGGTTGCTTGAATTTTTAACTTCTACCAAGGAAAATATAATTAAAATTTACCAACTCCTCTACATGGCCAGTCACTGACTTAATTCCTGTCCTTATGTATTCCATCTAGCAAAGTAAGACATAGGAGGTATAAAAAACAAAAGCCACACATCTGGGAGGATTATGAATAAATACTTGAACATGCATGTCGTGAAAGTAAAGTCAAAAATCGCTGTGGGACTATAAGGTACCTAAAGGCCAATACTAATGTAAGTAATTAAAGATATGGATACAAATGACCATGATTATAAACAGTTATGAAAAATACTATCACTTGAAAATGTCTCCACTCCACCCAGGAAAGTGGGTAGGAGTTTGTCCTTTCTGTAATCTCTCTTTTAACCCCTACTGACTGTTACAGGGCTTGTCTGATCACAGCGGTTAAGAATTACAGGACTATGGCAAAGCAGTCGCAGTTAGGAAGCAGTTTGTTAGAATTAACAGAGAACACTGCTGTGATGACCAGGATAAAGTACAAAAGGGAATGAGTTATGTTGTTGAAATCTCAGGCTGTTCTATTAATGTTCCAGCTACTGTGAACCCCAAAGCCCCCTTTTCCCCCTCAGCTCCCTGTATGAATTCCTCTGGTGTGGCAGAGTGGTTCATTAATTTGTGCGACATTGCCATCTGCTGGTAGGAATTGGTAAGTATGGCTTCTGAGAACCTGGCAGCCAAATCCTTTCCATAAGGACAGCAGATGTTGAGAAAGTCTACACGTGGTATTACATATACTAGACAACAGAGGATACATCCAAGTAGGGAAGAGAATAACCTAATTTGTGGGTCAGATCCATTCTTAGACATCTAAAGGTCAAATTCTGTTCTATACCATTAGCCTAATAAACTCTCATATTTTTGACTGGTGTCTTTCCCCTTTTTCAGAAGCAGTGAAAGTTCTTCAGTTGGTTACATCCTATTGTTCTGATAAAATGGAAAAGAAAAAGATAGGAGAGGAGAATATTTATTTTGCTGATGTTTCTGTTCCCAAAAGTGACTGTGAAACTGGGACTTTTTTCCCATGTCCTTCCCTTTTACTCATGCCAAAAATACCCACTTGGACCTTGTGCTTTCAGTTTAAAGTTCATTGATAATTACACTTCGATTTGACTGAAAAAGTAAAAATTACTTTTATAAAAGACTAGTGCAAGAACAAATCAGCTTTAAAAATAGGGATGTTATCTATTTTCCTCCATTTTGAGCCTATTTAACACAGTCTATATAATATAAATAGGAGCAATACAGTTTAAGTAAGCATTAGTATACCATTGTCATACACCCCTGTTGGAAGCCATTTTTCTGTTTGTTTAATGGAAAGCGGTGTGTGGGATTTCTGCAGATTTACTTGTAAGTGTTGGATTGGGGATTTTTTGTGTAAATTTTCTCAAATAAATGCTAGCAGAAACCATTTTAAGTGTATTTTTCTGTCACTCTTGAGTATCTCTTTGTCTGAATTGACAATAATTCTTCCATATTCTTCAGTTTTAAAGTATGGCAGATTATTTGTGATGAATTAGAGAAAAAATTGCATGTAATTTACTGCAGATGGATAAAGTTTGAGCTAATAAAATTTTATTATATTTTATATATAAATACGTAAGCTATATATAATGTGTATATAAACATAATAATACACATCTTCAGAAAGGCAAACTAGTGTTCTGTAAGTCAAGCATTTTCTGTAGCTTCTCTTTTTTGGAAACTGCTATTGGAATTATTCCTACAGTGTCTTCTCCTTTGCCCTCTATTCTGAAAATACCCCTTACAATTTATAACCTCTTAGGACTTGCATTTTTACCCATTACCTATATGCAAAACCCAGCCTACCAGGTAAAGGCCATTTTCTCCATCTTTTTACTTATAGTTGAACATTTTTCATAAAGCTTCTTTCCAAGGGGTCAACCCGAAGTGCTTTGCACATTCACTAGCTGGCATCATATTTCCCCTCTACCTCCATCCCTACCCCCGAAAACAGGTAATAAATTTGTCAGTGCATCTATAATCTATAAAGTAGTGATTCCCAAATCTGAGTGTACTATTTTAATATCAAAAATATCTTATTTCTCACTGATGATTTAGAGAACGTAAACATGAATGAATTCGAAACTTTTTTTTTTTTTTTTTTTTAATGTTTTATTTACTTCTAGGAGAGAGAGAGACAGCGTGAGCAGGGGAGGGTCAGAGAGAGAGGGAGTCACAGACTGAAACAGGCTCCAGGCTCCGAGCTGGCAGTCAGCACAGAGCCCGACGCGGGGCTCGAACCCACGAACCGCGAGATCATGACCTAGGCGAAAGTCAGACGCTTAACCGACTAAGCCACTCAGGCGCCCCAATTCGAAACTTTTTTAAAGTTACTGATTTTGAGAGAGAAAGAGTGCGAACTGGGGGTGGGGGGAGCGGTGGCAGAGAGAGAGAGAGAGAGTTCCTTGCAGGCTCCGCACTGCCAGCACAGCGCCCAATGTGGGGCTCAAACCCATGAACCATGAGATCATGACCTGAGCCAAAACCAAAAGCCAGGCACTCAATCAACTGAACCATCCAGTTGCCCCTGAATTTAAAACTTTTAAATGACCTTCACAGTCTCAGCAGTATCACATACTTGTCAAATGGTAGTATGTATTGTGCAGATTGTCAGCCTGCTGTAGTGGTATCCCACATAACAAACTGCATGTGTAGTTTTAAATTTTCCAGTGCCACATAAGAAATAGGTGAGATTAGTTTTAATGTATTTAATGTATCTAGAATAGGATTTCAACATGTAGTCAATAGAAAAAAGATTAATGAATATTTTGCTTTTATCCCCCCATATAAAGTCTTTGAAACCCACTGTGCATTTTACAGCTACAGCACATCTCCATTCAGACTAGCCACAATTCAGGTGTCAATGGCTGCATGCAGCTAGAGTACCAACCTGGAAAGTGAAGGTATAGAGTCTGCTTGGCACTTTGGTAGATTCTTTCATCTTTACTGTGATCCTATGGCCCCAGGGAGCTGCCATTAACAACTAGGAGTCTGCTATGCAGCATTCTATTTACTTGTTAAAATAAAACCTGGAAATCTTTTTTTTTTTTTTTTTTAACCAAAAGCACTTTAAAATCAGTTACACCTTTAGAATGTTCAGTATTTCTGGACTTACAAATATTTGAAGGCCAGATGTTTAGTTTCATTTATATCCAGTGTAATGAACTGAGCTTGAGTATTTCTGTTCTGTATTCTCTAAGAGAACAGGACATTTGTTAAACTTCTATCTATGCAGTATAACTAGAACAACTCACAATATCCGGTAACCAAGCTATAGAAAATGATCATTCCTCCCAGCAAAGATGGCAGAAAAGTATTTTTTTTAAGTTTATTTTTGAGAGAGAAAGCACGAGCAAGGGAAGGGCAGAGAGAGGAAGAGAGAATCCCAAGCAGGCCCCACACTGTTGGTGCAAAGTCTAACACAGGGCTCAAACCTACAAACTGAGATCATGACCTGAGCCAAAGCCAAGAGTTGGATGCTTAACCAACCAAGCCACCCAGGGGCCCCCAGGAAAACAAGTTTTTAAGCTTTGGCTGAAACCTATTCACTTTTTATTTTAAGTAATTGTTTTTTCTGTTCCTTTAACCAAAAAATAAAAATAAAAACTAAAAAAACCCCACCAAAAACATTGAACCTATATTCTGTTTAATGTGCTGAGCTAAGTTATGGAGTAAACTCAAATAAGAAACAATACCCATCCTCAAAGTGCCTAATAATAGTAGAAGCTAAATGGAGTGACATCTATCCAGAATGATCTCCCTACTTTGTTAACCCATCACTGACTTAACATTTTGGATATTCCTTCAGGAAGCCTTCACTTAACCCAGCAAGTTTTGCTTGGAAAGAGGTCCCTCCTCAATTCCTTTCCGGAAGCTTGTGATTACTATAGCACTTATAATTGCATGGTTATTTGTTATATGGACTATAAGCTCCATGAGAGTAGGAACCATGTTTTGTTTTCTGTTGTAACTCAGCACCTGGCACAAAGGGGTACTCAGTGTTTGTTGAATGAATTAATTGGAAAATTTAAAAATATTTATAATCTGGCATCCTGGAATGAAGCCTTCAAAATATGACAGGAGTTATCAGTCAGGCTTGCATTCAGGTTTAAAAAATGTTCTATACATTTGGAGATAATAACGACCTGATATTCATTCATCAAATACATTTTAAGCCTAGAATATCAGCCACTTTTCTAGGTGCTGATAAATAGCTGTAAACAAGAGTACAAAGTCCAGGCTCTTGTAGAGCTAACATTCTAATGAATGGAGAGAGACCATAAAGTAAACATAACAAGACATCAGTATTGTACAGATAAGCATTGCAAAGAAGCGATGTAATCTACTGAGGGAGCTGTGTAACTTTGGATTGCTTTGGATATGAAAGAGAGGC